AACTGTAATGTTGCTACTGTTATGAATCATAATGTAAATATCTGATATGCAGGATGGTCTTAGGCGACCCCTGTGAAAGGGTCGTTCGACCGCTAAAGGGTTCGCGACCCACAGGTTGAGAACCGCTGTGCCCAGCTGGCGTGGCTCAGTGGTTGAGTGTCAACCTATGAATCGGGAGGTCACGGTTCCATTCCTGGTCATTAGCTTGTTGCCTGGGGTTGGGGGCTTGATCTCATGTGGGGGGTGCAGGAGGCGGCCAATCAGTAATTCCCTCTCATCATTGCTGTTTCTATCTCTCTCTCCCTCTCCCTTCCTCTCTGAAATCAATAAAAAATATATCTAAAAATACATTTTTAAAAATCATAAAAACTTTTAAAAAGTCTTTATATACCTTGTTTATATACACACTTCATTGAGGAACAACGAACACAGGGAAAAAGGAGAGAGATGGAATAGAAGCTATAAATACAAATTTTTAAAAGAATTAAAAAAGGTAAGTACTGAGAAAATAGCTGTTGTATATTCATACATAGAACCTAAAAGCAAATTTACAGTAAACTTGCAGGAGGAGGATGAAAACAGACTCTTAAATGAAAATCTTATTAATTTTAAATGTGCTGAATGGTTCACCTACCCCCAAAACTTTCGTTTCTGTGGGTTGAAAGGAAGGGGATGATGTGGTGGAGAGACTTGGTCCAGGAGCCTGAGCCTCCAAGCCTTTGGCCGTCACACATCTCAGCACAGAAGACAGTGCGCCCCCTCCTAACCCCCTCCCCCCCTCGCCACGGGGTTAATACCCAAACCAGACCAGATGCCCGCGTACACTGACCTCCCTTAACGATTCCTGCATCACCGGCTCCGAGTTACTACAGAGCCGGACCCGGACGGGACGCCGTGTCATTGACAAACTCCAGCCCGCGAGCTGTCAGTCACCTGCAGGCAGTGGCCCGCGAAGACCCTGAACCCTGACCTCTCGGTCGTTGATCTGACCACCAGCGACGACCCCCCCACGACCGACCCCAAAGACACCCCGTTCACAGACACCCAGGAGATCCCTCCGTGCTCCCCGCCCGGCGCTACCTTCACCGACTCACAGGGGCTGCCACCCACCCAGCAGCCGCCAGACACACCCACGCACGGACCGGACTCCCTCCGGGGCCCGCAGCGACCTCTGGAGGCCTCACTCACTTCCCTAAACTTCTCCCTTCTGGCCTCGGCTCCTGAATGTCCGGCGAAGGCGCGAGGGGTTTCTGCTGCGTTTCTATGGAGAACGGAATACGGGTTCCTGGCGTTTCCCTATGACGTAATGTACCCGCGCCGCCGTCGCCTCGGCACCCTGGGGGCCGCCATCTTTGCACACCTGACGTACAGGCTTTTGCTCAGCGGCCGGCCCGTCAGCCCTGCTAGGAATGTGGAGAGGTTTTCGGAGGCCTGAGGTCACAGAAGGCCCATGACGTGGCGGTAAATTCATTTGTTGGAGGGGACAGTGAACGAAGCCTATTTTCCAAAGGCCGGAGCCCATCAGGACCAAAAGGGCCCCGCGTACCTTCCGAGCGGCCGTTACGCCTCAGCTCGGTGCAAAAGGAAAATAACTTCTGGACACCTCAGCCACTAGCCTAATTGCGAAGAGATTTAGAGGCCGCATAAAAACGTAAGCTCGTTTGACGAAAAAGCCGGCGGGGCGCTAAAACCGCGTGGGGTTGGCGCCGGGAGGCAGGGGCGCTGTGGGCGCGGCCATCTTGGGGGAGTGCGGTGTCCGTACAGAGCGGAGGGCCTCGGGGCTCAGCGCGCAGCCGGCAGGTGGCGGTGCATGTGGAGGAGGAACCAGGTGTGGAAAGTAAGGCGGTCAGGGGGCCGGCGATCACAACGTGAGCAGAAAGCAAGGACGTGGAGGCTCTTTCCAGCCTCATTCTAACCGCCCGAGCACAGAACATGCTCCATACATCCTAAGCAGGCACCCAACTGCCTTGTCACCACAGATTAGTCTGTATTTTATGAACAGACTCTTACTGTATGAACTCTTTTTATCTGCCTTCTTTCACACGACATAATTTTTTTTATTATTGAATTTTTACAGAGACGAAGGGAGAGGGATAGAGAGTTAGAAACAACAATGAGAAACATCGATCAGCTGCCTCCTGCACACTCCCCACTGGGGATGTGCCTGCAACCAAGGTACATGCCTCTGACTGGAATCGAACCCAGGACCCTTCAGTCCGCAGGCGGAGGCTCTATCCACTGAGTCAAACCAGTTAGGGCCGTGGTCAGCAAACTGCGGCTCGCGAGCCACATGCGGCTCTTTGGCCCCTTGAGTGTGGCTCTTCCTAAGCCTTAGGAGTACCCTAATTAAGTTAATAACAATGTACCTACCTATATAGTTTAAGTTTAAAAAATTTGGCTCTCAAAGAAATTTCAATCGTTGTACTGTTGATATTTGGCTCTGTTGACTAATGAGTTTGCTGACCACCGGAGTCAGGGCAACATAATTGTTTTGAAGTATCCATAAGTTTGTTCCTCTTTTTGCTCAATATTCCACTGTACGGGTAGTCCAAAATGTGTTTAATTGTTTATCAGTGGGACTTTTAGGTTGCTTCCAGGTGGTTGTTTTTTGGATATTGCAAATGGAACTTCTAGGAACATGCAAAAAATAAAACGACCTCAAAGAACTGAATCTCCCACAGTCGTATGCACCTGTATCACCTCAGCAAGAGGTCTTTGCCAGCCATTTGCAGGCCTGATACCCATTTCTAGTGGCTGCAGCTCTGAGCTAGAATACTCCCTCCTCACCAGGAGGCACCCGAGATCCTGAGAAGGCGGTCTGTGGCACTGATATCAGGTTCATCTACTTCAGTGGTTCTCAACCTTGGCTGCACATTAGAATCACCTGGGAATCTTTTTAAAATCCTGATTTCTGGGCCTCATCCTCCGGAAATTCCGTTTCTTTGTTACTAATGTTGTGGCTTCACCCCATAACAAAGAAACAGAATTTCTGGAGGATGAGGCCCAGAAATCAGGATTTTAAAAAGATTCCCAGGTGATTCTAACGTGCAGCCAAGGTTGAGAACCACTGGCCTAGAATATGCCTTCCCTGGCCGCCTGTCTTGCTGGTTCTCACCTGGACAGGTTCCACTGTGGGTTTTGTCTTCCATTGTCCAGGGTTCTTCCCCTCATTTCAGCTTGAAGAATGTGTTTGGTTTGCTGGCTTGATACCCTGTTCATAGGAAATGACAGAAGACTGACACATGACATTGGGCTAGGAGGTCAAGATGGGAAAATGCTACATTTGAAGGATTCTACAGTTTCACATCTGCAAAGTGGAGGCTTTTCTCTCAGGAGAGGGAACATGATATACTCTTGTCTGGAGCCAGAGAGGGGTCTGAGAATCTATCACTTGAGAGCACTACAGAGACTCTGAAGCAGCTAGGAGGAGAGGCCACTGACCGGGGACCCTCTGAGTGACACAGGGGAGCTGTCCTCACCCACTGACAGGTGGCTGTAGTTCTCAACATCACGTCCCTGTACAGGTCCTAATCGGGTCCAGAAGCTGCCATTCCTCCCAGGTGAAGTCCAAAGCCACATCTTCAATTCCCGTATTAACATGGTCCTGTTTAATTGGAAGTGTTTCGCTTTTATTGACATACAGAAGGAATGTAAAGGAAGTCATTCTGCTTATTTTCACCATACAGGCTGCATCAGTACAAACAGTTTAAAAAGTAAAAAAAAAAAAATTAAAAATATTTGTAGGAATGAAGGAAAGTACTATTAGAATATTCTATTATAATTCAGTCTTCAACAAATTAGATATTTCTATAATGCACAGCCATTACATCCTGTAGCTAACCATCAATCATACATCTGTATATGTGCACCAATTGGCCAAACAGGATACATATGTGGGTGATATAAAGATTAATAAAACACAGTATCACAATTAATTAAGGGCCTTCCCAGGCTTGGTGGATCAGAATGGTGGCAGAGACAACAGTTATTCAAATACGACATGTTTAATAAGTGGGTTTAAAATGTTGTAAGGAATAAAATATTTTAATATGTCTAAAGAAAAGGAAACTAAAGAGACAATCAGGTGCATACACATGCACGTTAAAAGCACATTAGCCTGGCCCGCATGGCTCAGCGGTTGAGCGTCAACCTATAAACCAGGAAGTTACAGTTCGATGCCCAGTCAGGGCACGTGCCTAGGTTGCGGGCTCAATCCCCAGTGTGGAGCGTGCAGGGGGCAGCCGATCAATGATTCTCTCTCATCATTGATGTTTCTATCTCCTTCTCCCCCTCTCCCTTCTTTTCTGAAATCAATAAAAAAATATATATTTTAAAAAAGCACATTAGAGGTATTGAAAGGGATAATCAGTGCACTAGAAATTATCCAAAATAGTTGGGGTTCATTACTAGTTCAAAGCTAGAGATTAGCATCAGCCCAGAGAAGAGGCACAAAGGGCAGCGTCCAGCTGTCCTCCCCAAGGGCGTCATGGGCCTTGTTCCTCTCTCGGGCGGCACAGGCAGTAGGTGGGGAGTTCTGCCAACCGGGGAAGCCCACCTGAAACTGATGTCCAATCTTTATTGGGACTCAATCATGTGATCCCGGTAGGACACCCCTGTGCCTTAATCCCCAGCCCCTCCAATTTCCATGTGATACCATGTGATCCATAGCCCCCACCTTAAATCACATTAAATCACATTGGGGCGTGTAGCTTTTACCTTTATCTTTTGATTTCAATCTCTTTCCTTTCTATGATAAATGTAACCCTGAGCACAGCAAGTTTGCTGAGAGTCCTCCTCACATATTATCAACCCTGAGGGAACCTGCAATACAGTAGGGAACGTCCTTGTTTGCTAATATATACATAATGTATAAATATTAAGTATATGCATATATGTTGCCTTTACTTATTAAAAAATTACCTATTTCATTCATGGATACATTTTAAAGATAAGATTCCAATGATTATTATTATTATATGTATCTCATATATGGTAAGAGTCAAATGATTACATATATACATATATTTAAATGAATAACTGATTATGAACTAATTCTCTAGGTCCTTTTCCTCCCCCAGAGTATAGCGCATGAGGTTGAAAGTTCCAAACTTCTTCCTGGCGGGGCTCAGTGGTTGAGTGTTGACCTGTGAACCAGGAGGTCACGGTTCGATTCCCCGGTCAGGGCACATGCCCAGATTTCAGGCTCAGTCCCCAGTGTGGGGCGTGCAGGAGGCAGCCAATCAGTGATTCTCTCCCATCATTGATGTTTCTCTCTCTTTCTCCCTCTCCCTTCCTCTCTGAAATCAATAAAAATATATTTTTTAAAAAGTTCCAAGCTTCTAATTATAGCTTGGTCTTTCTTGTAACCAGCCCCCATCAAGGAATCACCTTATTAGAACAAAAGCAGCTCTATCACCCCCATCATTCAGGAAGTAAAACTATACATATATAGTACTATATATGTAGATATATAAATATATTTAAGTAAATAAAATTATATATATATATATACATATATATGTGTATATATGTGTATGTGTGTGTGTGTGTGTGTGTGTGTGTGTATATATATATATATATATATATAAAATGAACTTAGACTTACTTGAAAGACTGAAGGGAAAGTAACGTTCATCGGGTCTGTCCCAGCAGCACAGGGGTCCTGGGCCTCCATAGCTTCAGCCTCTCAACCACAGACACACATGGGCCTCCCCAGATATTGACCATATCCCCCTATAGTCAGACCTGGAAAAGATACCACTGTTTACTGATGACGTGTGAGCTCCAGTAGTTAGCCCGATATAAATTTCCAAACTTGAATGGCATTTATTGACAAATACCACGGACAAATATGGGCTGAATTGTGTTCCCCAAAATCCATATGTGCAAGTCATAACTTCCAGT